ACACAATCCATGGCATTATCATTGATTTGAGGCAACACTTACCCAATGACTCGTTCACTTCCAATTCAGACAAACTGATGGCCAAACATGTGCTCTAATGGACAGACAGTTGGATCAGTTGACAATTGACACAATGGTTGCCAAACACATACCTCGTCCTCATCTTCTAGTGGCTGTGGCTGTGGATGAGTGGGTGAAGTGGGCGAAGAGGTGACACTACTTGAGTCATTGGATTCAGTGGACGACAACTCGCTGTCCAAGTGTTGAGTTTGTGAGGACAGGGCTGACGATGAGGTGGAGGCGATGGCAGCCGTGAGGCCGTTGTCGACAGTTTGCTCGCCACGACTGACCAGATATGCAAAGACCGGCGAATTATGGAAACGGGATTCACGCGAATACCGGCCCAAAGAGTTCACTTCACGGATCATATCAATAGTCTCTTCGTACAAGACATTGGCCTTTGCACTACTCGCGTAGACATTCGTGTCCAATGAGTACGAGTTCCGCAGATTATGCAGATATATGTTGACAGCAGTGGTCGGCCCCAAGTCGTCCACCGCCGACCCCACCAACTGTCCGCTAAACACATGATTGTCTTCAATGGGATCATCACTTCTCAAGACACTGACAATGAGTGCCAAATACAATAAGTCGGCAAACGATGCCTTTTTGGCCATCGCGGACACAATCACCACAATCACTGGCTGTATGTCTGTCTGTCTGTCTGTTTGACACAACTATGTCTCCGAGAGATACCTTTGAATTGGGATCACTTTCTCGCACATCATGTATAAGACGTTTCACTGGATTTCATCAGAGAGTGTCAGACAGTCGTATAGTTGTTGTGGAGTTCATGAGATGACTCAATGAAACACTCACGCGGGAACGACGGTTGGGCGGGCATGTGAGTAATACGCCCAATACGCCCGGCATGTCCATACAAATGAGAGACCAAGCACTTCCCTCATATATTACGACAATTATAACAGTGGACAATTATTATTATACCCAGACGTATTTTTTGTACATTGGGCGCGACTTTACCAGACATTTTGTTAAATCTAGTAAAATATATAATATTTTGAGATTGTTTTTTAAACTAATTAGATGCTAGTAGTAAGAATAAATGTTTTTTAAAAGACTAACTTTTAATCTAACTTATAATTAATTAATTAATTAAGTTTTAATGCTAAAAACTGGACGGGCTCAGTATTTCAAATACGCTGGGCATGCCCTGGGCACGCGCCCAGTATGTCTTGGTGGGCGCGTGTCGTTCTCTAGTCATCACAATATGAATAGCGTTCAGCCATTGGTTGACACGTACTGTATGTGTGACCCAATGTGTGCGCAAACGTTGGCTTTAATTGAAACAAACGTTTCTTCAGTCGGTGTTTGGTCTCAGCGTTTGATTCAATTGTTTCGCGATTTAGTATTCAATTGATTATAATTGTCGCCAAAAGTGAGCCACAAATGGATGAGTCTGTGAGTCAGTTGTCGACACAGTTGTTGCAAACTCTGTCACCGGATCCCAACGTGCGAAGAAAGGCGGAGAAGTGGTTGCAGTCGTGCGAGGGATCCG